GCCCCAGCATTCCCGTGTCAAGGCTCTTGTTGGCCTGGAGAGGCCAAGCGTGGAGCGCCAGGCTTGGGCTCCAGGCTGGCTGGGGAGGGCACTTCCTGTCCTTCTCCTTCTTTTCCGGGTCGGCTCCATCTTCCCCCAGCCCTAGTCCTCAAGCCTGGCTGTTCTCCCTGTCCCGCCCCTTGGGTTAGGCTGGGGTCAGGCGTGGAGGGGGAGAGGTGGCGAGGAGGGATGGGTGCGCCCCTGAACAGCTGTGCGTGGACCGACGCCGCCTGCTCTGGAAGTGGGGGACCCGGATGCCAGGCCTGCTCTCCTGGGCGGTCACAGGAGTCTCTTGACGTCTCCCTCCTTCCTCTTGCTTCTCGCCGCTGCTGCCCCCTGAAAGCGTAGTCACCTTGACACAGGGGAAAAACGGAACTCCCAGCCTGCTGGAGGTCAGATACACCAAGGTCCGAGTTCCCTGAAATCCGAGAATGAATTGTAAGGAACAACGGAGGCTAAGAGTAAGAAAATTTATTGAGTGAGACAACTCCTGAGGGACAGGAGGGGACCCGAAAGTGGGTTGCCACAGAGCCCACTTCTCTGGAAGTTTTATAGAGCAAAATCACGAGGTGCATACAAAATCACAAGGTGGGTACAATGTGGGACAAAACTATGATCAACCAAGAAGATTACAAGTATAGCCAGGTGTGGTAGCGCGTGCCTGTAACCCCAGCACTCGGGAGGCTGAGGCAGGAGGATTGCCACTAGTTCAAGGCCAGCCTGGGCTATATAATGAGTTCAGGGGCAGCTTGAACTATACGGCACAAAGTATAGCTGCTTGGGTAATGTTGATACAAGGGCCTTTTTTGGAGATGAGTCAGGAGGTCCTGGGCACCCACTTGGGTGACTGCTGTCTAGCTAGACTTTATTGGACCACGTGATACCAATTATAGTATGATCTTCAATTTACTGTAAAGATGATCATTCCTTCATTATCTGGAGGCCTGGCCTTTGACAGATGCACCTCCAGTCACAGTTGTACTGTGTTCCCATCTTCTGCACTGACTCCCTCCAGGGCCTGCCCGTGTGGCTGCCTATAAAATTTCTACCTAACGTAGCTGTCTATAGTAACATCACCTCCTGACTCCCGTTTCAAATCCTGCACTGGGTCCCCTCACGCTTGGCCTAGAAGCCAGACTCTTACCTTGATATTCAGGCCCTCGGGGTCATCTCTAGCATCTTTGCTCATGTCTCACCTGGATGTTCTCCACTCCAGCCACACCAGCTCCTATGTCTTTTTTTTGTTTGTTTGTTTGGTTGGGGGGGGGGCAGGGTCTCGCTATGCAGTTCAGGCTGGTCTTGAGCTCACTTTGTAGCCCAGGCTGGCCTTAAACTTGTAGTGATCCTCTTGCCTCAGCCTCTTGAGTACTGGGATTACAGGTGTGTGCCACCACACCCAGAAGCTCCCATGTCTTGACCACCTCATCCAGTATGCTCCACCACAGGGTCTTTGCACCTGCTATTTCTTCCACCTGTGGCACCCTTCCAGCGTGCCTCTTCTCATCCTTCCATTCTTTGCTCATGTAGAACCTCCTCGGGGAGGCCTTCCTTGACCGCCTTCTCTGCCCTGTCCCCCACTGTCTCAATCACACTTCTTTCCCATTTTTCTTTAATGAAATGTAATTCACATACCATAAAATTCACCCTTTTTTTCTTTTCTGTTTGAGACAGGGTCTTACTATGCAGCTCAGGCTGGCCTTGAGCTCACTTTGTAGCGTGGGCTGGTCTTGAACTCGCAACAATCCTCCTGCCTCAGCTTCCTGAGTGCTGGGATTACAGGTGTGAGCCACCATGCCTAGCCATAAAATTCACCCTTTTAAAGTATTCGGTTCAGTGGTTCTTAGTATGTTCACAGGATTGAGCAACTGGTACCACTATGAAATTCCAGGATATTTTCATCATGCCCCAAAGAAACCAACTGCAGTCACTCCCCATTTCCCTTGAAGCCACTGATTGAATTTCCGTCTCTATTGGTTTCCCCAAGTTGCATATTTGTCTTAAGTGGAATCATACAGTGTTCAACCTCTCCTGTCTGGTTTCATTCGTGTAGCATACTGATTTTAGGGTTCATCCGCGCTGTGGCATGAATCAGAACCTCATTCCCTTTTATGACTGAGTAATGTTCCATAGTGTGTATATGCCACATTTGGTTCATCTGTTAGTCAGTCAATGGGCATTTGAATTGATTTCACTGTATGACAACAGTGATGAACAATGCTGCTGTCAGGGACCATGTGGCAGCCCTTGCGCCATCGCGTGCCTGCAGTGCCAGGGCTGCACTCTGGGTCCCAGAGTGAGTCTGTGTTTAACTTTTGGAGGAGACCAGACTGGTTATTAAGGCAGCCACACGCTTGTCCACCGCAGTGCCGGTCCCAGTTTCTCCACATCCTTGCTAACATTTGTTTTCCTTTTAAATGTTTTATTGCCGCCATCCTAGCGGGCAGAAGTGTGATTCTGATTTGTGTTTCAGCAGTGATAAAAGGTGGTGAGCATCTTTCTATCTGCTCACGGCTGGTTTGTGTATCTGCTTGCAAGAGCCGCCGACCCAGGTCCTTTGATGACTGTTCTTTGTGCGTTCGGTCGCTCGTTCACCGTCTGTTGTGCTGGGGGTGGACCCTGGGCCTCGTGCGCGCTAAGCCTGGGTCTAACCCTGAGCTGCTCCTCAGCCCCTCGCTCATGCCAGCCGTCCATCTGGGCTTTCTACATCCGTGTGGCTCTTTACTTTCTCTTCTTTTTCTCTTTCCCCTTTCATCTTTTTTTCTCTGCCCCTTATCTTTCATTGCCGGTGTTCTGCTGTTTTTCTTGTTCATTCTTTCCTGCAACGGTTTTTTTTTTTTGGTACCCGGAATTGAACTCAGGACCTTGCACTTGCCAGGCAGGTGCTTGTGCCACTGAGCGATATCCCTGGGCCTTTTTTTTTTTGTCCTGCAACTGTTTCCTAATACTGTCAGTTTCCTGTCAATTCCCAGTCATTCTAAGGCTAAGACAGGGTCCTAACCTGTTTTTAGGGACTTCAGGGATCCACTGTGAGTTCCCGTCCCGTTCTGAGCACTGTGAGCCTCAGAGCCTCATTCTGTGATTTTGTTTTGTTTTGGTTCTTTTGAGACAGGGTCTCGCTATGCAGTTCAGGCTGGCCTTGAGCTCACTTTGTAGCCCAGGCTGGCCTCAAACTTGCAGTGATCCTCCTGCCTCAGCCTCCCGAGTGCTGGGATTACAGGTGCACACTACTGCGCTTGGCTCATTCTGTGATCTTGATGGAGGCTTCTTAGCTCATGGTCCCCCCTCATAGGTGACAAGGACAATATGGCATGTGACACAGGGCAGAGCCTGGTCAGTGCGCTGTGAGTCTGAGTGAGTGCAGCAGTTATTTACAAACAAACCACCACAAATTTAGCAGTTTCAGCAGCAACCAGCCAGTTGCCCACAGCCGTGACCAGAAGTCAGGGGAGTGGTTGGGTGTGGTGCCACCGGCTCACAAGGCCAAGGTGACGTAGTTATTGCTATGTTGGTTTTCTCTGGATGCCAATATCTGGCTTGCCTTGGGTTCATTAACAACACAGTGGCCCATCCTGGAGAACTAAGTACTGAGCCATACACACTGCAGCTTCCTTGCTCATGGAAATGGAGGTGATTGGATCCTCGGACAGAGGCAAAGACCAATAATCAGCCACACACATGGGGCACCGCTGAAAAGTAGACATGAACTAAAGTGGTTTCAATACTCGTGACGAAGCTTGCCACGACCCACAAGCCTCAATCCAGCAAACAGAAACAGGGGAAGACAGGAAACCAGATCCCTCCCAGAACTCCCGGCATCCCCAGGGCTGACCCGCGGGGCGTGGAAGTGGGGAACCAAGAGCCACACCCCTGAATTATTCAGAAAGGATAACAAAACAGGTCAGCAGGCATTTGGACGATACACATAAACAGATAGTGGGCCAAATAAACCAAATCATCAAGTCTACAGAAGACAGCTATAAAAAGCCAGCAGAGCTGAACACAAGGCTCTAAAACATGAATAACCAGCATAAAAAAGAATTGGAGTCTAGAAAAAGGTTCACCTGTTGGGAGAGGCCGATTAAGGAGAATGATTTTTCCTAAGGTCACCTGCGTCAGCCAGCTGTGCGTCACCAACAAGGGATCATGGCAGGTGCGGTCACGGCGGGTCCCCTAGAATCCTGCCTTCCACAGCGAGGGGAGCGTTGCTGCTGCATTCTCCTCTCACGGCCGGTTCTGACCTCCTCAGCACCAGGCTGAGCAAGCGGGCACTGGGGATGTGGCCTGGTCTTGGGCCACCGAGGTGCCTCAGTCAGGAGGGACAGTCCAGGCAGCAACGAAGCCGGTAGAGCCAGCTGTGCCTTTTCTGTGTCCAGGGGTGGGACAGGGAGTGCAGTGACCAAAACCCTGACCCATGTTGGCTCGGAGAACACTGGGGTGCAGGGCGTTCTCCCACCTGCAGGGGTGTGGTCATCCCGTGGGACCCCAGATGGTGACTGCTCCCCCGGCTCCTGTTCCCACCCCTGCACAGCCCATTCTCTTCCCAACAGCCAACGTGATCCTGTGAACACCTGCGCCACCTCATGTCCCTTCACTGCCCAAAACTTTCCTCTGGCTCCGACATCACTCAAGGAGAAATTGGAAGTCCTCAAAACTGCCTGTCAGATTCTGGTCTGCCCCTAGCACCTCTCTGGCCTTGATGCCCGTGGCTTCTCCTTGCTGTCTTTAGTCCAGCCACACTGGCCTCCCTGCTGAAGACACAACTCAACCTCAGGGCCTTTGCACATACCATTTCTGTGGAAAGCCATTCTTGATGCCTGTGTGCCTCCTCCCTCACCATGACAGTCTCTGCCCAGTGCCTCCTCAGTGGAGCCTGCCCTCATGTCTCCAGGGACCTCCCCTTGGGGGCACTCTTTTCCCTTCCTTGATTTGCCAAATGATGCTAAGTGCTGTGGCTTCTGCAGGCGACCTGGTGAACCTCCACTGGACTTGGGCAGCATCCCCTGGCTGGGCCACGCCCTGGAGTTTGGAAGAGATGCCGCCAGCTTCCTCGCCAGGATGAAGGAGAAGCACGGTGACATCTTTACTGTAAGTGCCTCCTGTGCCTCTGGAGGGAAGGGGGTGAGCAGCCGGCCTCACACCCAGCGTACGCCGTCCTTTCAACATCTGTCCATATGCCAGCCCGCCCAGCCGTGCACACCAGGGCCGGCCCGCTTCCCTCCACCTGTACCTCAGCGCTCCTCTGACTTCCATCTTTCCGTCGTCCCTTCAGCCCTTACAACATCATCGAGCTACGCAGTCATCCAACATCTGTCTGGTGTTTGTGCATCCCTCCAGCTGACCTCCGTCCTTCCTCAGCTTCTATCTCTCCAAGTTCCATCTTCTGATTCATCCCCCCATTCATTTATTTATCCTTTATCCTTCTCCCTATTGAAATTTACCCAGAATTCTTTTCTTTTGATTCTTTTTTTTTTTTTTTGAGATAGGGTCTCACTGTATAGTTCAGGCTGGCCTTGAGCTCACTTTGTAGCCCAGGCTGGTCTCAGGCTCACAACAATCCCCCTGCCTCAGCCTCCCGCCTCAGCCTCCTGAGTGCTGGGATTACAGATATGCACCACCACTCCCAGCATACCCAGAATTCTTACAGTCATGTCCCCAGCATCTATTAAACTTTCATCCCTAAATTCAGTTCCCACTAACTTCCATTCTTTGATTTATTTACCCACCTCTCTATCCATCTACTTCTATCCACCAACATCAGCGACCTATCCATTCAGTATCTGATGTCAGGCGACATCTGTTTATACCTCCATCCATTCCTTCTCCCAGCATTCACTCAAACAGCCACCACCCCTCGACCCAGCTTCCATGTGCCCTTCTGACTTCCATCCATCTCACATTCCACCTCCGGTCTCTTTGCTCAGTGTCTCCTTAGCATCCTGCCATCTTTGTATGCAGCTGCACATTTATCCATCTCTTCATCCAACATAAGATTCCCTGATCCGCCGTTCCATGTATTCATCTAGCACTCTATCCACAAGCATTTACCCAACACTTGCCCTTGCATCCTCCTTCCCTTCTTCCCTTTCTTCCTCTTGCTTTTCCTTTTTCTTTTCTGGTCTTTTTGAGACAGGGTCTCGCTATGCAGTGCAGGCTGGCCTTGAGCTCACTCTGTAGCCCAGGCTGGTCTCGAATTTGCAGCCATCCTCCTGCCTCAGCCTCCCAAATGCTGGGATTACAGGCGTGTACCACCATGCCTGGCTTCTCCCTCCTTCTTTTCCTCCTTCCCTCCCTTCTTTCCATCCATTCACTTATCCTTCCCATCCATCCATCCATCCATCCCTCTACCCATCCACCCATTATACACAAATCCGTGCATCCACTTGCTGCCCTCTGGAGGTAGACTGTCTTGGCTGCTGGAGGTAAGACATCAACCAAGATATTCTGAATTCCAGACCTAGTTCTGCCACTTCTCAGTGGTGAAATCTGGGGCACCTTAGCTCACTTTTGCGTGGGTGAGTGATGGTCTGTACTCACAGGTGGTGGTGAGGGGAGGTAAGGACGTTGTCAAGTCCTTTGTAGGGCAGTGCCTGGCATGTGAGATGCCTTGACCACTGAGAACTGTGTGGTTGTCTCAGTTACTTTCTTGTTGCTGGGACAACATACGCGACACCCACAAGTTAAAAGGTTTGTTTAGGAAAGGTTTATTTGGCTCACAGTTCGGCGAGGTTTCAGCCCATAGTCTCCTGGTTCCAAGGCAGAGCGGCATGGCAGAGGAGAAACAGTTCGTTGTGTGGCGGGCAGGAGGCCGCAGTAGCGAGCCTCCCTTTCCCTTTTTGTTCCATTCAGGCTACAAGCCTATTGGTTGGTGCCGCTGACAATCAGGGTGGGTCTTCTGCCTTCAGTAAATCCATCCAGCCGCATCCAGAACCTCATTAATCCAATCAGTGGACTAATCCAGTTATTATGTTAATGACCAGTATCACACACCAATGATCCAGTCACCCCCAAAAGTCCCACCTGGGAGTGCTTGAGGCTTCAGGGGACATTTTAGATATAAACCGTAGTGGTGGTGTATGTGCCACTCCCTCCCGCAGGTGCTGCTGGGGGGCAGGTATGTCACTGTCCTCCTGGACCCGCACTCCTACGACACGGTTACATGGGAGCCGAGCACCAGGCTGGACTTCCAGGCCTATGCTGTCATCCTCATGGAGAGAATTTTCAGCGTGCAGCTCCCGCATTACAACCCCAGTGACGAGAAGGCCAAGATGAAAGTGTGAGTAGCTGGAGGTGGACCCTGTGGGTGCCCGGGGTGGGTAGTCCAAGGCCTGGGTGTGCCGGGCCCCACAGCAGCTGTACAGTAAAAACTGTTTGGAGAAAACAAAGAAACAAGCCAAGTCCCTAGCCGGTACACGCCGGCTGTTCTTTCCGCTGCCAGCAGGAGTCGCTGTTGGCCATTGGCTGTGCCCTGCCGGCTCTACCCATCTGGCCAGTAAGCAAGGGCCCTATTTCTTGGCCTCCAGTTGCTGTGAAGTTTGGCTCAGCGTGGACCCTGCAGCATGGAGACTCAGCAGAGGGGCCTGTCATTTCTGCCACCCTCCGGACAGGGTCTCCTCCAACCTGGGGACCAGGTTAACAGCCCAGAGTCCTTCACGCTGTGTTCATTCACCTGGAGTCCTGTCTCTTTAGCGTCCTCGATCAGGGGACACTCAGCTCTCTAAGCAGAGCCTCCCTGGGTTTCAGGGAAGAGTTGACTTCTTAGTGCCGTCTCTTCTAGCAAATGTGCCCCAGGCGGGGACGGAGTGTCCCGTCGAGTTTAGCCTGGAGCTGAGCAGACCGGCCTTCAGCCCCAGCTGTACTTCTCACCGGCCCTGTGGCTTTGAGCAGGCCCTTTTCTCTGCGCTCGTGTTCCTCCATCTGTACCTGTTATTCCTGTACAAGGGGATCTGTGTGCTTAGCACATTAACGGAACAATCACTGCTGTTGGTAGGGACGGTAATAATAACGGTGTCTTGGTCGAGTCCATCTCTCACCGGCCCCCATTTCCAGCGGGGACCATGAGCTAAGGGCCCTAGGTTTGGGGGGGAAGTGGCTGAGGGTTGATGGCTCCTGTGGGACCTGAATTTGCACCCTTTGGTCACCTGCCTCAGGACCCTGCAGCACAGAGACCTGCAGGCGCTCACGGATGCGATGTACACCAACCTGCGCACCGTCCTGCTGGGGGAGCCCGCGGAGGCGACTGGTGACTGGTGCAAGGCGGGTCTGCTCGAGTTCTGTTATGGCGCCCTGCTCAGGTGAGCTCGGGACCGTCGCTGCCCCAGCGGGGGCCCACACGCTGCACTGTGCCAGCCACGGGCAGTGACCAGGGGAGCCCAGAGCACTTGGTGGATGGGGGGCAAGCTTGGAATGATGCCCAGAGCACCCCGCAGGGGAGGACACCGGGCCCTGGGGACCCCGGTTCACCTGGCCCAGCTCCTGCGCTGGGAAGGGGCCCTGTGGGCACCCAGAGGGAGAAGCAAGCAAGGCCAGAGGCCACCTTCTCCTATTCTTCCCAATCCTGGCTTTCACACATCAGCAAAGCAAGATCTTTGGGAGGCTGGCCCAGGGCCAGGACCTGCCCTCAGACCCCGTAAACTTGTAGTAAAAGTGGCACAAGCGTGTGTCTCCGTTCAGCAGAGCTGGGTGCCCTCCCGGGCTCTGGGGATACAGCAAGGAACAGGCAGACGTCGTTACATGCAGAAGGGTGAACGTGAGGGCAGATCTGCGAGCGTGACAGCATCTGGGGGCGCTTTCAGCCAGACCAACGAGCGAGGATCCTCTGAAGATCCCACCTCAGAGCTGAGGCCTAACTCCGAGGTGCCCTTGGTGCCACGGTCCTGGCAGAGGAAATGGCCAGTGCAAAGGCCCCGGGGTGGGAAGAAGCTTGCAGGAGGTGCGGTGTGGATGGAGCAGAGCGAGCCCGGGGACAGTGTGGTCAGGGATGAGGTCAGAGAAGCTGGCAGAACTGGGTCTCGCTGCGCCTGGACTCCTTGGAAGGCTTTGGACCCCACTGTCAGTATGAGGGGGTGACCTGAAGGGGCTTCCTTTGGCTACTGCAGGGCCGTGGGTGGAGGTGGTGCAGGGGACCTGTAGTCACCCAGGGAAGGAGTGGCGGCCTGGACCGGGAGGGGACAGTGTGGGCGACTTCGGGAGCTGGGTGGTGGTGGGGCTGGGGCTCGGCTGGGAGCAAGGAGCGGAGCGGGGTAAGGACAGCGCCTCGACTCCTGGTGCTGCCGGTAACCCAGCAGCTTCTCCTACCGGCGCTGTCCCAGCCGTCCCAGACCTGTCCCTGCCTCCCACCGAAGCTCTCTTCCTCCCCGCACGCCGGCCTCCGGCTGCCCCGTGAGCAGGCCGGGCACGCTCCCTCGCGGGGCCCTTGCGCTTTGTGTCCCTCCCATCTGCGTGGCTCCTGCCTCCCTTCGATCAGCTTTCATCTCGAGGAGCCCTGCTCAGAGAGGCCTCCTGGACACCCGGTCATAGCTGGGCTCTCCAATACCTGGCCCCGGCCAGTTTGGGTTTCCGTTGTGGGGCCTGGCGCCACCTAGGGGTTGCGTGTGTATTTGCACAGGTTGTTGTCCTGCAGCGCGAAGTTTTGATACCGAGGTGGAGGGGAAGATCCATCCATCCGCACGGTGAAACCTCCTGGTCCCCGAGTTCCTCGTTTTGTTTTTGTTCTCGTTGTACACGTGGGCGGGAATACGTGGGCTCTGTCACCATGGTACAGTCCTGCCCCACACTGCCCTGTGTGACCAGGGCTGTGACTGACCACCAACGATCCTCCTGCCTCAACCTCCTGATCCTCCTGCCTGTCACCTCTTGGACACTCAGCCCTGTCCCCTCGCACTGCAGCTCCAGCATCACCTGGCAGCGCTCTGACCAGGCTGGGGCTGGTGCCAGGGCTCCGGTCTCTGCCCTCTGCCTGGGCGCTTCCCCCTGCTCCTTTCCCAGGTTTGCCTCCTCCAGGAAGCCTCCCTGGACCCTTTCCAGGAGTCTCCCCTCTTGACCTGTGCCCCTCATCACACCCCGCTGACCCCCTACCCCCTCTGCTTCAGCCTCGCCAGCCTTCTCGGTGCCCTTCAACACTTGCAGTGCCTTCCTGCTGCAGGACATTTGCACTTGCTATTTGCTCTTTCTTGAGCCCCTCTCTTGCTCCTCCCACACATGTTCCTTCTCACCCTCCAGCTTACCCGAGAGCCCTGCTCCAGGGCATTCGTGTCACCACTTACCCTCCCTGAACTGCTTCCTGCTCTGAGCACTGCTGATGTGGAGCTCGTGTAACTCCCTCCTCCAGCCAGGCGTGCATCTCCCTGGGCTGCGGCTTCAGCACCAAACGTCAGGGATTCTCGTCCGTCTTCACTCCCCACGTCCAGCGCAGTGGCAGCACGAAGAGCTCCTCTGGTGAATGAGAGGAGAAACTTCTTGGCCACCGTGGAGTGTGGCTGGGGGTGTGCGGGGAGGACCCCCTGACCTGCTGCTGCCATCCCCAGAGCCGGCTACCTGACCCTGTATGGTGTGGAGGCGTCGCCAGGCACCCCCGAGAGCCAGGCCCAGGACCGCACCCACTCAGCCGACGTCTTCCACACCTTCCGGCAGCTCGACCTGCTGCTCCCCAAGCTGGCTCGGGGCTCCTTGTCAGCAGGTGAGCACCACAGGCTCCCCAGAGGGTCTTCATGAGGGAGGGGGACCAGGGGCCTCCTGGGAGGAAGGACGCCCCACCGTGGGTGCTGTACAGGGGCACAGTGCGGGAACACGGGGCTTGGGCCAGGGCCGGGCTTCCTGGTGGGAGCTGCGATTCGGCACATCTGGAGTGGGCTCTGTGTGTGTGTGTGTGTGTGTGTGTGTGTGTTTCTTGTTTTATGTTTGCTATGGTTTGTGCCTGGATGTCCCCCAAATCCTCATGCAGTCATGGGGTGGGCTTCTAGAGTTTATGATTGATCCATGGTCCAATGCTGGGATTACAGGTATGAGTGCTACACCCGCCCTGGGGCGGGTAGTTTTCACACAGTGTAAGGGAGGGAAAGAGGCTGCTTGCCGCTGCTCCTCCCTTTTTGCTCTTGCTGCTTTTGCTGTCTTCCCCCACCATGAACGGTTGCCCTCTGCCGTGTGCCACTCTGCCTTGGAGCCAGCCGTGTATGGACTGAAACCTGCACAAACTGTGAGCTAAATAAACCTTTCCTTCCTTAATGTTAGATGTCAGGCATTTTGTCTCAGCAACAAGAGAAAAGTAACCAAGACAATGTTGTTTTAAAATTTTTTATAAGGAGTTCATGCTTGTAAAAAATTCAAGCCATATGGAGCAATGTGGAGGGATTAATAAGAGAATTTTCGGGGGCTGGGGATTTAGCTCAGTGGCAAAGCACCTGCCTGGCAAGCGCAAGGTCGTGAGTTCGGTTCCCAGTACCGGAGAAAAACCAATAAGAGAATTCTCCGTGTTCTCCCATCTGGAACCCACCACAACCCTCCCTAGAGATAAGCCTCATTACTATCTGGAGTATACCCTGGTAACGCTTTCTCTAAACAGATTCCTACACACACAGGCACGCACGCACATGCACGCACAGACACACACACACAGAATTATGCATTTTATTGTTTTCAAGGCTTTTTACTTAATTATTTTACTGAGGTATAATTTACATTTGGGAAAGCACACGCATTCCATACATACAGCTAAGGGTGGACCTAAACATGTCACACCCTTTCCCAGCCACTGTTCAGCCCCTGTACTGGTTTCTTTCACCTCCAGTTGGTTTTGCCTGTTCTTGACTTCCCTATACACAGAGTCTGGCTTTGTGAGTCTGGCTCCTTTTACTCAATTTAATATCTGTGACAGTCCTTCAAGTTGGTGTATGTATTAATAGTTTCTTCTTTTTCATTGCTGTGTAGTATTTCACTTGAGTAAAATGTTCTTCCAGTTTCTCGTTGGTAGACATTAGAGAAGATTCCACTTGGGGACAGGAAAAAACATTTGTTGTGTCTCTGTGCATGTGTGCCCTCATTTCTTTTAGCTATCAGCCATGTGCCTAATGTAGATCTATCATGTTGGAAGAATTGCTCTGCCACTTTAAGATGTCAGGGAACTCCCTGGTGAGAACATTTCCACATCGGTTTGGAAAAACCCGTCTCATTCATAGTTTTGGCTACAGAGGACATCATTGTTAGGGAAGAGCTTCTGGAAGATGCACGGCCGGCGGCTACAGGAACCAGTAGGTGGCGCCATCTCCCAGGTCCCCGCATCTCAGCCGTCCCTGAAGAGGCGTATCCTTGGGGTCCTTGGGCCCCTGGCCTGCATTGGATTCCAGGTCTCTAGGGGAACCAGAAGACCATGTTGCTGAGTGCCCTGAAAAGGCGGAGAAGAGCTGTGCGTTTGAGTCTCAGGTGCTCACGGTGGACGTCGGGGCCGGAATCCCTGCTCTTTCCTGCTGGTGACTTCCAGCAAGTGACTTCTCCCCCAGTTCCCTCCTCTGGAGGTGCGGTTGGGAGAGTGGTGGAAACAGACTCTGGGCTCGAAGGCTTAGCGCCACACCTGTTCCTCTGCGCTCCCTGTGTGCCTCTGCGACCTCACCTGTGAGATGGGAAATGCAGTAGGATCTTCCTGAAAGGCGGCTGTTAGGATGGGCTGGGGTAATGAGAAAAGAGCACTGTTTGCTGAGCACTTACTTTGTGCTACATATCAGTCACGTTGAGGATGTCACATTCTGTCCTCAGAGCACATTGCCACCATTTCCTTTATACACACACACACAGATAGATATATATATATCTATATATCTATATATCTATATATATAGATATCTATATATATATATATATTTGTCTTTTTGAAACAGCGTCTCACTATGCAGTTCAGGCTGGCCTTGAGCTCACTTTGTAGCCCAGGCTGGTCTTGAACTCACAACTATGATCGTCCTGCCCCAGCCTCCCGAGTGCTGAGATTACAGACATGCACCACCATGCCTGACCTACTTATATATTTTTAAAAACCAAGTTTTATTCATTAATGATTCTGTTTACATTATGAAAGAAGCATAATTTTCTGTCTAACAATTTAGAGGTCCAGCCAGTATAAACTAATAATACTGCTTCCTGCACTCCCAGCATCTAGGATATCCCTGTGCAGAACTTGCATGTTCACACAAATAGACCAATACACATATGAATATATATATGTGTGTATCTAGAGTGTCTCAGTATGTGCTTAGAAAAAGGAGGTGTGCAATATCTGTGCAAGTGGTATTTTTTATAGTTTAACACTATAGCTATACATTCTCCCCTGTTAAATAAACATCTTTCAGAAGTATCAGCCAATGCAATTAGACAAGAGAAACCAATTACAGATAAAAGACTGGGTAAAGAAGTAAAACCTTTATCTACATTCTATGCAGATGATTTGATACAATGTCTGGAAAATCCCAGGGAACCAGTGATAAAATTTACTCAAAGACTGGGTATGGTGGCACATGCCTGTTATCCTAGCAGTTGGGAGGGTGAGGCAGACGGGAGGAGGATCACCATGGGTTCAAGGTCAGCCTAGGCTACAAAGTGATTTCAAGGCCAGCCTCAATTTCGTAGTGAAACCCTGTCTCAAAAAGACAACAACAACAAAAAAGCCCCACCGCTAATAACAAAAAACCCAAAACTCAAAACAACAACAAAAAACCCCCAATAATTTAAGCAATAAAAGAACCCACGAAATTAGAAGGCTATGAAATTAGCATAAAAATGTGGACATCTTTCTGGCCTTGGCATGGCTGTGGCAGTATTTAGTTAGCTGTCTTCCTCTGGTGGATAGTAAGTTTTATTTTTGCAATCAGAGTACTGTATGTCTTTGTACAGTCCTTCAGTCTACCATCTGGAGATTTTACCTTTCTGTTTTCCAGAAGTGGGATTACCAGGTCAAAGGCCATGCACATAAAAGTTTTATTAGCTGTTGCTGTGTCATTTCCAAAGCCATGGAGTCATTCATACACGTACCCAAAAGAAAGTTCTCCACCAAGGTGCACGTGGTGGCATATGCCTGTAATCCCAGCATGCAGGAGGCTGAGGCAGGAGGATCGTTGCAAGTTCAAGGCCAGCCTGGGCTACAAAGTGAGCTCAAGACCAGCCTGAACTGCATAGTGAGACCCTGTCTCAAAAAGACTAAAAAAAAAAAGAAAAAGGAAGTTCTCCACCAGATGTACGTTTTAATTGGCATTTTTTCACAACCCTGTCTGTGCAGCTATCAGCCTAATCCTTGCTAATTTGATGGGCAGAAAAGGGCATCTGGCTCCCTACAGCCTTTCTCTGACGCTGTGTGGGGTCTGCCTGTGTTTCACCTGCCGGCTGCCTTATCTCCCTGTGACCTGTCTGTTCATCGTGCATCTTTCTAGAAATAATCCGTTATTGTATCAAATCCTGCCATCAGGAGGATCGTTGCGAGTTCGAGACCAGCCTGGGTTACAAAGTGAGCTCAAGGCCAGCCTGAACTGCATATCGAGACCCTGCCTCAAAAAGACACACACAAAAAAAATCTTGCCATCTTGCTAAACATTGCAGCTAAGGACACTGAGGCCAGGAAAGGGGGAATCTCTTGTCACAGACATAGCTGGTAGGTGGCAGAGCCAGTAATGTGGAAACTGTCTAGTTGCAAAATCCTGTGCCTAAATACCTGCCCTGTCCCAGCACATGCTGCTTCCTCAGGAAAAAAGTTGGGTTTGTCATTGACCTTTCCTGCAGGGGAGCCTGGGTAAATGCAGAGGACGCTTATCCTTCTGGAAGCTCTGTGCCGGACATAGGAAGGCTGCATTTCCCAGAGTGAGCAGCAGGTGGCAGTGTTGGCAGACGGTTTTTCTTAGTAAGGGCCAGAGGTGTGTGTGCAAAGCAGGTCCCAGTCCTTAATGTAGGGTCCTGGCAGCAGCATTGTCCCTGTGGAAGCCAATTGGACGGGACCCACCAAGATTTAAAATGTATGCCTTTTGGTCCTGTACCTTCGCTTCTAGGAGTTGATCCTACAGAAATACTTACGCGCATCTACAGATACACAAAGATAGTTGCTGTCACGTTGCTTGTGAAGGCAAAGCTAGAAACTGATATGAGAGAAAGAAACTCCAATCTGCTAGATGTCAATAACCTGAGTTTGTGTTCTCTAAAACTGAGGAATAAATTCCAGGAACAACGCAGGTTAAAAGTAGGAAGAATTTATTGAGAGAAAGAAAGCTTCGGTCTAAGAGGGACAGAAGCTGAGTGTGGTAGCGCACGCCTGTAGTACCAGCCCTCAGGAGGCTGAGGCAGGAGGATCGTTGTGAGTTTGAGACCAGCCTGGGCTACAAAGTGAGTTCAAGACCAGCCTGAACTACATAGCGAGACCCTGTCTCAAAAAGACCAAAAAAAAAAAAAAAAAAAAAGACTGAAGGGGGTCTGGAAAGTGGGTTGCCCACCAAGCCACAAGGTGGGACAGACCTATAATCAATAAGATTACAAGTATATTTGCATAGGTAATATTGATCCAGTGGAAAATCATAGGATGGGTACGAGGTGGGACAAAACTATAGCCAACCATTAAGATGATTATTATTATTATTATTATTTTGTCTTTTTGAGACAGAGTCTCCCTGGGTAGTCCAGGCTGGTCTTGAGCTCACTTTGTAGCCCAGGCTGGTCTTGAGCTTACTTTGTAGCCCAGGCTGGTCTCAAACTTGCAACGATCCTCCTGCCTCAGCCTCCCAAGTGCTGGGATTACAGGCGCGTGCCACCACGCCCGGCTAACCATTAAGATTGTAACAGGTATAGCCGCTTAGGTAATATTGATTGACCAGGGATCAAATAGGAAAGCAAGGGTAGCAAGCACACATGGGGCAGACAAGGACTTTCCGGAAGGGTGGGTGAAGGTTTGGTCCTCCACCTCAGGGTGCTCCCTGCCTAATTAGAATATCACTCGCAGCTGTTCATCCCTGGGGGAAGCCCATGGGTATAGTCTTTCCTCTCTTCTGGAAGCCTGGCCTCCAGTGAATGCGCCGCCAGCCACAGTGGTCTTCTGCACCGACCTTCCCAGGGCCTAGCCCTGTCTGACTGCCTACAGTATTTCTACCTAACTTAGCCAGCTATTGTAGTACTGTATTACCTGGTCCGATAAAGTCTAGATGGACATCAGTCACCGAGGTGGGTGGCCAGGGCCTCCTGACTCATCTCTTCCAGGAAAAGGTCCTTGTTCTGACTTGTACACTTGCTATGTGACCCGCTTCTCCACTAGATCAATATTACCTAAGCGGCTATCCTTGCAATCTTATTGATCATGGTTTTGTCCCACGGTGTACCCATCTTGTGATTCTGACGTATAAAACTTCCTTTGAGAAATGGGCTTGTTGGCAACCCACTGGGCCCCTCCTGTCTCTTAGGAGCTGTCTCTCTCTCAGTAAAATTTCCTCCTCTTAACCTCCTTGTTCTTTCGAATTCATTCTTCCATTTTGGGGAATTCAGCGTATCTGCCATCCAGCAGGTTGGGAGTTATAATATTTCCCTTATATCATTTGGAGGTCACCCCAGGAGAAGCTGGGTGTGTTGTCGCATCCATGTAATCCCAGAACTCGGGAGGCTGAGGCAGGAGAATCACCTCAAGTTCAAGGCCAGCCTGGGTTACATAGTGACTCAAGGCCAGCCTGCACTGCATAGCGAGACCCTGTCTCAAACAACAAAATGAAGCAAAAAAAACAAAAAACAACAACAAAAATAAAATAAACAATACCCCAGGAAAGAGTTTCTAGCACTTGGAAATTTTAAAGCAGCCAAGGTGATTCCCACTTTCACTGGGGAAAACAAAATCGCATTCTCATGGGCATTTAGTCCTACATGGCTTAATGAAAGGCTATATCCTGAGAAGTGTGCCACTAGGTGACTTCAGTCTTGTGTAAGCATAGCGTGCAAATCTGCACACGAGGCCACTGTGATGTCACTCGGGACGTGACCAGAGGAGTCTGCTGTCATAGGTGTGCTCTGCCATTGACTGAAATGTGCATGGCTGTGCGTGGAACCTGCAACCCTGGCATAAGGGGTCCTCCTGCGTGCAGTCCTCAGGCCCGGCTTTATTCCCTTCCCCAGGCCATCTTTGTGCTTTTGAAAGAAATTCCCGTTTGTTTTTAGCTTGTGGCTTTTCCAGAGCATACAGGCTCCGTGGCTTATTTGATGTTGCCTTGCTGGCTGGTGTCCTTGGGGCACAGGTGACCTTTAGCGATGCTTTTGTGGCCTGAACAGTGACTAAAGCTGCTTACTGAGATGTCAGCCTTAAAAAACACCAGAAGAGGGGCTGGAGTGTAGCTTGGCGATCATGCCCTTGTCTAGCATGGCAAGGCCTTGGCTTTGATCCTCAGCACCAGGAGGAAAAAAAGAAAAGGACAAACACTGGATGATTCCACACAAACATCTGGATTTTCAGCTTCTTTTGCAAACTCAAGCCCTCCTGCTTCGGGGCCAGCTTCTCTGTCAGTGCTGGAGGGGCCGGGTGGGGACCGAGCGAGACACTCACTCCTCCCTGGAGGCCCGGCTGCCTTCGGTGCTCAGCCTGCCCCTGTCTCAGGAGGACTTGGCCTCGTCCTGGTCCCGCCCTGGGAAGGGAGAGAACCATTCCTCGCAAACGGCTCTGTAAAGAAACACCCTGCATGGGATGTGTATTTGTCGAATAGCTGCTGTGAGCCGGGTGCTGGGGACACAGAGGTGAGTGAAACCGGCAGGCTGCTATCTGCGGGAGACAAGGCCCTTGCTCCTCTCTGCCAGGGCTGGGACAGATAACAAGCAAGGCGACATTGCAGGGCTTCCCTCGGGGTTTCCAAGCCTGGTCGCCTCTCCCCAGAGCCTCGTTCCCCACCTCCACCGAAGGACACCCAGAAGCCCCGAGACCTTCTGGGGGGCCAGGGCTGGGCAGCCTTGGGCTGGAGGTGGACCTGGACCCTCCATGTCTGTCGTCTGTCTCCGCAGGGGATAAGGACCACGTGAGCAGCGTCAGAGGTCGCTTGTGGAAGCTGCTGTCTCCGGCCAGGCTGGCTGCCCGAGCGCTGCGGAGCAGCTGGCTGGAGAGTTACCTGCGGCACCTGGAGGAGATGGGGGTGTCACCCGAGATGCAGGCGCGGGCCCTGGTGCTGCAGCTCTGGGCCACGCAGGTGGGCACGGTGTGGGCGGGGCGCACGCAGCTGCGGATCGTCTCATATGTGTGCGCGAGTGTGTGTGTGCGCGCGCGTGTGTGTGTGCGTGCAGGCAGGTATGCAGGCGACTGCATGTGTGAGCTCGTGTGTTCACGTGCAGGCGTGAGTGGGCACGGGCATGGGGCTGTTTATTGTCCAGCAGCACCGTGGACAGGACCATTCACGTACTCTCTCTCTCATATATATACATATATATGTATTTAGTCTGGGAAAATGTCAAGTTCATAGAAAACCTTTACTGTTTCATGAACTCCTGCACACACAGCGCCGTGGTTCTCAGAGTTGTCACGAGCCAGGTCCTCCCCCCTTCCACACCTTCCCCTTCCCGGCCCCCTCGGTGCTCCCGGACGCGTCCCTCCGATGGCTGTATATGGCTCCATATGCCCTTCTCTCTCTCTCTGTCTCTGTCTCTCTCTTTCTCCTGCTGCGAGTATTTGATTGGATCACTCCCGAGGAAGATGCAGACATCGTGGCTTTTTGCCCCTAATCACTTCAGGGAGCGTCCGCAGGAGGAAGAGCCTCCTGTCCCACGACCACCGAGCTCGCCCAAACCCGGCCGCTGACCCGAATACAGGCCCGTTGCCTCCTACACACTCCGTACTGCACGTTTGCCGCTGTCCCGGGGTGTCCTTCGTGGCCCTTCTCTGCCCGGCGTGCGGTCCGGGCTCACGCCTTGCCTTCAGCCCCTCTGCCTCTTTAGCTTCTGCCTCTTTACTTTCTTTAATCGGACAGTTTCTGTTCTTTTCATTGTTTTTCCTGACCTTGACATTTCTGAAATGCACGGACCGGTGGTTTTGAGGAATCACTGCGAAGTTCCACTGAGTATTTGCTACAGAGCTCAGGTGCTTTGTGCTGCGTTCGTGCTAATCGGAGTGGGGCAGGGAGCACACAGACCGTCAAGGAGACAGACGCGAGACAGTGTTAGCTGCTGGCGTGCAGGATGTAAACTGGGTCAGGAACAGGACCTCCTCTCAGGGGCAGAGGTGTTTGAACCGGTCCCTGGATCAAAATAAAGCTCAACGCAGGGACTTGGGAAAGATATAGGGGTGAAGCGTTCTGGGGAGCGCAAGTGCAAAGGCCCTGGACCTTGCCAGGTGCTGGGGCCAAAGCAAGGAGCTGAGTGTGGCTAAAGCAGGCGGGGTGGGGAGTGGAGCTGAGGGAAGCGGCCACGGGCAGCCGCGCAGGTCTCAGCAGTGAGGACTTGGGATTTTCCTCGGAGTGAGGCGGGAGCCCTTCCAGAGTCTGAGTACAGGAGGGGCGGGAGCAGGGAAGAGACAGGGCCTCTGGGATCAGGTGGCAGCTGGGGTGGGGGATGAGGACGCGCACAGGGTTGGGAAGCTTTGGGGTGACGGAGCCGACGACCTTGGTGATGGCCCGGATGTTGGCGTGAGAGGAAGGCGCAGCCTCGGCCGGTTCCTCCCGCAGTCCTGACCGCCGCGTCCCCCTGACCACCGCGTCCCCCGCAGTGTCTAGGCCCCGCTCGGGCTCCGGCGGTTGCACGGGGATAATTCCTCTCCCAGCAGCTCCAGACTTATTTTTGGTTTCCTCCTGGAGCCTCAGATGTCCACCCGGGCAGAGGCTGGCGACGGGCTGGCAGGGTCTCAGCCGCAGCCCTCCCTGCCCCCGCTTAGGAACATTCCTATGGGCTGGGTGACCCAGCGCCAGCTGTCCCCAGAGCCCCAGAGCAGAACCAGACCCGGGCTGGGGGCTTGAGTCAGAGCCCAGGGAGCGGGACGTCCTCTGAGTGGAGTTGGCCACGGCAGGCTGTGCTCAGGCAGGCGATGTCCCTTCGGATGCTCCAGCACAGAGAGCAGGACCGCAGCCGTGCAGTCCGGGGACTTGGGGACCAACTCTAACCCACCTGCCTGGAGTCAGTGACCTCACCAGCTCCTGGCAAGTCACTTGGCCTCAGTACCTCAGTTCACCTCACCCAGCACCTTTCTCGGGGTGTGGCTGTGAGAGTGGAAGGAAGATCCCGAACCGCGCAGGTGGCAAGGGCTCCTGGGATGTTCACGAACTGCCACCAAGGGCCTGCATGTGCCAGGCTCCCTTCTAGGAGCTGGGGCCCGAGCGGTGAGCAAAGCAGACATGGCCTGCGCTGCGGAGCTGGCGTTCTGGTGGGAGAAGAGGAGAAGTAATAGTTAGTAAGCAGATCACATCACTGGAGGGAGTGTCCGGGGCAACATGGGAAGACAGAAGAGTTTGGAAGGGAAGGAGGAAGGCCTCACTGCAGGGGCTTCTGTGGGGGAGCAGACCATGCAGCTTCTAGAATGCCCTTCCAGAATGTGCAAAGGCCCTGTGGTAGCGTGAGGGCTGTGTTCAGAGAGGTGGCAGATCCCAGACCACGCAGCACCCTGCAGGCACGGGGAGAGCTTCAGTTTTTACACTGCACGAGGCAGGTGCCCTTTGAGGACTCCAAGCAGAGGCAAAATGAGGCCTGTCTTATGCTTCAGAGTGACCCTTCCTGCTCAGTGCTGACAGAGGACCATGGTGGGTGGAAGTGGAAGCTGGGAGGAGGGCACTGCAGGGTCCACACCAGGGAGGAGGGTGCTGGGCTGGGGCCAGGCAGAGGCAGGGCTGAAGGGGTCAGATTCTGGATGTGCATCAAGGCGGCACCAGTAGGGTGGGACACTGGAGGGAGTGTCAAGGACCCCAGCCCTCAGCCTGAAAGACAGGAAGGGCGAAGGTCCATTAATGGATGAGGCGGGCGCTGGAGGAGCCAGTTGGAGGGAGGAGTCCCGGGCTTTGCTCTGGGCGTGTCCAATTTGAAATGAAGATGGCGGCTAAGCGGAGATGCAGGCGGGTGGACCTGTGGGCCTTGTCCACGGAGAGGTGGGGCTTAATGCCGCTGGGCTGGGAGGTCTGGGGTGAAGATGGAGGGACGGGGCCGAGGCCTGGGGCTCCCCATTTTGAGGTTGGGAAAGACAGCAAAGGAGGCCGAGGAGGAGGCGGGAGAGGCTGAGAAGTGGGTCCCGGGATCGCGGGTGTCAGGTCGGAGACCGTGAGTCGGGGACGGTAACTGCCAAGGACGCGGCATTTCCGGGGGCCAGGCGCCCCGGTGAGCGCTTGGTAAACATCATCTCACGCTCTGTGGAGCTGGAGCCTCAGGGCCTGGGACACAGAGGGATGGAGCGCGACACAGAGGCCCCAGCGTCCAGGAGGCCGGGAGCAGAGGACTCGTGGGCTGAGATCTCAGGGCGGGCAGCAGGGAGAGGTGGACCCAGGTGCAGGGCGGGGGCTGGGGGCAGAGGGAGATGAGTTCACAGCGGCCACACCCGCAGGCACAGCACCGGGACGAGCCTCCTTCCAGCTCGAGGTGGACCCTGGCCGTGTGGGACTGCTAGCTTCAGTTGTCCTTTTTTTTGGTACCGGGAATCGAACTCAGGACCTTGTGCTTGCCAGGCAGGCGCTTGTACCACTGCGCTATATCCCCAGGCCATAGCTTCTGTTGTCAAGAGCTCCAGCCGCCTCTCATTCTTCTCTTCCTCCCGCACTTCTGGCTCCGCTTCAGCCTGACCATGGTCCCAGCGGCCATGGACCCGAAGCCCACCACCCCAGAAGCTCCCCGAGTGTTACCAGGGGCCTTGGGAGCGGCAGGCCGAGTTCTGCAGACAGCTCAGCCCGGCAGTCGAAGAATCAATCCCCTTACCCTGTGCCAAAGGGCAAAAAACGAGAGCCAGCCATGACTTCAGACAGACTTAGGTAAATCCCAGCCCTCGCACCCATCAGTTGTGTGACCTTGAAGAAGTCACTTCATTTTCTGGGCCTCAGTTTCACCATCTGAGAAGAGGATTTTTTTTTTCACTTTAATGTTTGATTTTGAAGTAAATTTAGATTGTAGGAGAGTTGCACAGATAATACAGGAAACTCCCAGACTTCTGATATTATATATCCACAATACAATAATGAATATTACTAGTAATTAAAATCCTTTATTCAGATTTCCCAAGTTTTTCTGTTCCAGGATCCAATCTAGGGTACCACCGTGCATTTTGAGTGTTTGTTTGTTTTAAATTGAGTTTATGTTTAGAGCAATTTTAAGTTCACATGAAATTTGAATGGAAAGTACAGGCCTGTCCCCTGTAGCCTGGCTATCATTGATACAGGAAAATAAAAACTCCCAACCCGAATGATATCTGGGACGAGAGTTCGTGTTCTCTAAAATCGAAGAATGAATTTTAGGAACAATGGAGGTTAAGAACAGAATATATTTATTGAGGGAAAGAAAAGAAAGCCTCTGTCCAAGAGAGGGACAAAAGGGGGGCCCGAGTGGGTTACCCAAGACCCTGTCTTCTCTAGGGACTTTTATAGAGCAAAACCACGCGGTGAGGTGGGTCTAAGGTAGAGGAAAAATGGACAAAACTGTGGTCAGCCAATAAGAATTGTTTAGGTAAAATTGATTAAATCAGGATCAAATGGGGAAGCGAGTCACATAGCAAGCCGGCATGAATACAGAACAGGGGCTTTTCCTGTAAGGAGTTGGGTCAAGGACTCTTCAGTGTGATCGCTACCTATTTAGAATATCAATCCCTGATGTCCATCCCTAGGGAGATAAGTTCATGTATTTATTTAGTCTTTGGTCTTGAGGTCTGGCCCCACAGCAAGTACCACCTCTCCATTTGTAAGGTATCTTATCTTCCATATTGGCTCCTTCGAGGGCCTGGCCCTGTCTGACTGCCTATAATATTTCTATCTTGCCGGGCATGGTGGTGCACGCCTGTAATCCCAGCACTCGGGAGTCTGAGGCAGGAGGATCATTGTGAGTTCGAGACCAGCCTGGGCTACAAAGTGAGCTCAAGGCCAGCCTGAACTGAAGAGCGAGACCCTGTCTCAAAAAGAAAAAAAAAAAAAATTTCTATCTAACTCAGCTGCCTATAACATCATCACCAACACCCCCCAGGGTGGTACGTTAGTTACAAATCTTTTTTTTTTTTTGGTTTTGGTTTTTCTCTGGTACCGGGAACCGAACTCACGACCTTGCACTTGCCAGGCAGGCGCTTTGCTGCTGAGCTAAATCCCCAGCCCCCTAGTTACAAATCATAAACCTACTTAATATATCGTTATTACGCTTGGGGCATTTTTCTATTCCCTTAAAATATTTTTAGATCACAAACTTCAAGGGAACATAATCTGCACCGCCTGAACCTTCGCGGCCCGTTCTGTGCTGATCCCGGCTTCAGCCGGCTTCCCAGTGTAGGGGACTCGTGGCCCCCCGTGTTCCAGAGGTTCAGCATTCCCAGCAGGAGAGGCTGGTCTTTCCTGAGAGGTCATCATGGATCCCAAGTCTGACACTCACGCCAGCCGGGGTTCCGTGTCCCCTCTGAGTGGATCCTGCTGCAGCACCCCCAGGTCACACACTCACCCCTGATGTCAGCAAGGGGTCGGCCTGGACCATTCCTGTGGACTCGAGTGAAGTAGGGGTCATTTTCTGGAGAAAAGGGAGGCGCTGTCGCCCCAGGATGAGCGAGGGCAGCCAGGTGGGCACGTGGACCACCAAGTGCGTATCCCCTGCAGGCCAGCCTCACCCTTCCCAGTGGGGGGAGGGCCAAGGTGGGACCAAAAAAGGCGCTTCTGGTCATGGCCTTGGGTCGTAGCAGGATGGAGGGAAGTGTCTTCCTGGTAAGCTGAGGCAAGGCCCCGTGGGAGAAAGCCCAACACCAGGCAGTGCATTCAGCACCCTGGGATGTGTGATCACATCCGCGCACACGTATGCCCACACACCCATCCTCGCAGTTGGGTGGAAGGCCATCTCGTTCGCTTCCCTGATTTGCACAGCTGCTTCCTGCAAGGGGAGATAGCGGAGCAGTGGGCTGCGCTCCCGCTGGGTGATTAATAAGTGGTAGCCCTGTCTGATCATCTGGGCAGGATGAAAGGGCCTTGGCACTGGGCTAACCTGCTGCTGAATTATTCATCGCCCACATTCCCCGGTCTGCTAAGTGATAGGCAGCGAGGGACCTAGCAGCCAGGCCTCAGGTGTGGGAGGGGCTCGGAGGGGTGCTGAGGCCAGCCTTGCGCCCAACCCCCCGAGGAGGGCTGGTGGTCGGGGTCCATCCTGGAGCACTCCTCTGCGCTCGCACCAGTCTCAGCGGACCCAGTGGCCCCCGGGAGTGGCTCTGTGATCATCCCCATTGTCCCGAGGAGGGTTCTGAGGCCCAGAGGAGTGACTTGTCCAGAGTCACAGAGTGGGGAGCTGTGGTCTGAACCCGGCTCTGCCCAGGGCTCTTCTGGCCCATCTCCCCGGATGTCCTGGCGCCTCCAGGCCCAGGGGGACACAGATGTTGACCGCATGCATGCCAGTGAGCCCCTGCTAGTGCTGGGCAGTGGGTAGTGACTAGGAAGGACCTCACTTTCCTTTCTAGTAAAAGCCTGGCAGTGACGTGCGCTTGCTGGAAGTATTGAACAAGGGCACGTGGTACCTGCTTGGTTCTGAATTCATGTGAGATAAAGATGGGGAATTGATCTTACCATTGCAGACGCTCTGGGGTGTGTGTGTGTGTGTGTGTGTGTGTGTGTTAGTAAGGACTGAACTGGGGGAGCAGTAAGTCAAATTCAGCCTTTTTTTTTTTTGAGACAGAGTTCTCAATATGTAGTTCAGGCTGGCCTTGAACTTACTAGGTAGCCCAGGATGGCCTTGAACTTACAATAATCCTGCCTCAGCCTCCCAAGTGCTGGGATTATAGGTGTGGCCACCACACCCAGTACCTTTTTTATTTTGATACAATGTCTTGTTAAATTGCCCAGATTCAGGTCCAACTTGCAATCCTCCTGCCTCAGCCTCCTGAGCTGCTAGTGTTGCAGGCATGTTCCACCACTCCAGCGTCTAGCATTACTTTACAGCCTTTTTGTGTGATTTTCTTCTGTGGTTAAGATATTGTTTTAGAGCCAGGCATGGTGGGTGGCGCATGCCTGTAATCCCAGTATTCAGGAGGCTGAGGCAGGAGGATTGTTGTGGGTTTAAAACCAGTGTGGGCTACAAAGTAAGCTCAAGGCCAACCTGAACTGCATAGCAAGACCCTGTCTCAAAAAAAAAAAAAAAAAAAAATGTTGTTTTAGTTTAGATTTCTATTTGATTCAACACTGTACCATGAGCATTTCTCATGCCATTGCAGATCACTGTGAGAATTATTCAGGGCCCTTCTGTCTTATTTGAAAATAGGACATCCATTAAAGGCTTGAAGAGTTTAAGAGGGTACTTGTATATTAAAGGAGAGTCAGTCTTCCTCCCTGCATCTGTCCCCAGGGCAACCTCAGGGCCTTGTGTCTCCTAGAGGTAGCCCCCTTCTTCTACTGTCACTCTTCACACACTCACCCCCGCTCTGTACCTTGCTGTTTGCACACTCAGTGTGTGCGCCTCTGTCCACACCAGTTTCCTCAGACCCAGCTTCTGTTCACAACTTCCTGCATCAGCTTCCTATGGCTGGACCACGCTCACCAGCCGCCTACTGATAGATGCGGGGCTTGCTTCCAATTGTTTTTCTTTTGCTTGCAATGTTTTTTGCTGTTCCTTGAGCATTGCAATAAATATCCTCATGCCCGAGTCTTCTGCCCATGTGTGATTATGCTTGTAATGAAATTACCAGGTAAATGTGACAGTTAATGATGATTTAGTATTCTAATGTAATTGGATAGGATAGTCATTTATGATAGACAAACCATCTCCAAAACTGAGATTGCTTATATTCATCCGTGTCTGAATGGCTGAAGTGTGCCAAATCACAGAGGCCAAAATGTACATGAAAATGAGCAGCACAGGCTGAAGTCTTGGGGCAAGACATTTCATTGATTTTCCTCATTATTTATCTATTGGGAAGGTACAAGTAAGTATTGTTTAAAAAAACATCACTCCTGGTCATCAGTGATTATTACTATTTTGCTTTATATGTATACACATTTGCACATATCTATTTCTCAAGTGACTGAGATTGTAACATATAGGGAAAATTTGTATCCCAATCTATATTTAGACATTGTATCTGTTAGCTATTGCTGTGTAACAAACATGCACTAAAGCTCAGTGGCCTCTACCTATTAGTGTTCATTTAACTCACAGGTCTGTGGTCTGGCTGATCTGAGTAGGGTCCTGCTGGGCCACTCAGCTCTTCCCGAAATGTCTCTCATCCTCTTCCTAGACTCCCTGATTAGTGGGCAAGGAGAAACACCCCATGAGGTCCCTTAAGGCCTTGGTTTAGATTGCTGTTCTGTCTATTCAAGCTCATTCTGTTGGCAAAGCAAGTCCATGTCTGAACTCAAATTCAAGAGTGGGGAAACACACTCTGCTCTTTCCATAGGAACTGCAGAGTCACGTAGTAAGGATTGTGGATATAAGGGGTTGCAGTCAGCCCTAGACATTAACAGTGGTCCTAAATGACATGCCTTGCTACTGTTGCTGATGCTTGCTTTGCCAGTTAGCTATGATGATTACCCAGGAGTGGCCAGGAGAGGCCTTGAAGTAGGTACTAGGCTCGGCCAGAGCCCCAGGCAGGTTTTGGCCGTAGCCTGAGGCTGAAGACACACTGGTTGTGCCCAGATTCTTGGCGCGGGTGGGAACCAGGCATGCTGAGCCCTGTGCCTTCGCCAGGCTGTGGCCGTAGCTCAGACCAGCCAGTCATGCCCCGTGTGTAACCAGGGCTCCTTCTCATCACAGGGAAACATGGGCCCTGCTGCCTTCTGGCTCCTGCTCTTCCTTCTCAAGAACCCAGAGGCTCTGGCTGCCGTCCGCGGGGAGCTCGAGCACACCCCGCGGCAAACAGAGCAGCCTACCTCGCAGATGAGCACCTTCCCACAGAAGGCCTTAGACAACACGCCTGTGCTCGGTGAGATGGTCAGACCCTCCAAGAGTGGGCCCCCAAACCTTCTCCAGCATGGGCTCCGGGGCCTGTCAGCATCCTCTGACCTAAGGTCTCTCTGAGCCTCCTTCCTTTGAGGCTGGGCACTTCCATGCCCGAGTCTCAGCTGTCCAAGGCTCCTGGGCTCAGAAGGAGAGTTTTGGCTGTGAGTGACTGAAAACCTAAACTAAACTGGCTGAAGTAGAAAAGGGTCTTCATTTGGAGTACACAACTAGAAAGTTCAGAAGTATCTGGCTTCAGGCATGGGCAGATCCAGGTGCTTGAACAGTTATCAGGATGCTGTGTCCATTTTCCTGCCCCGGTTTCCCTGATTGGCTCAGTCTCAGGCAAGATGGCCGCCCATGGGTCAAGGCTGACTGACTCCTTGGCTACCTGAGGGCGTGTTCCTAGCTAAAGTCCCAAGACTGTGTCCTATGGGCTCTTTGGATCATGTGCCCATCTGGTGCTCAGAGGGAAGCTGTGATTGGCCAGTCAAAGCCCCATCCCAGCAGTTAGGAGCAGAAGCAACTGCCCCATCCCTGAAAGTAGGAGAGGGGTGGTTCCCTGAGGAAAATCGGGGCTGTTTGCAGAAGAGGAATTACACTGGGCAGGCAGAAGCAGATACAGATGGCCCCTCTCTCTCCTAGCCTTCTGATATCTCCCTGGCTCCCACCTTCCCTCACAGCTTCTCTTGGAGTCAGATCTGGATCCTTGTCACCATCTGGCCTTTTCCATCTGCTGTGTGACAGTGGGCAAGGCATGTGCCCTCTCTGAGCCGCCTCACCTTCCCCTGTAAAGTGAGATGGGGGTGGCACTGAGCAGACAGGAGGGCAGCCTGCTCATCTTTCTCGTGTAACCCATGCAGACAGTGTGCTGAGCGAGAGCCTCAGGCTCACAGCCGCCCCCTTCATCACCCGCGAGGTTGTGGTGGACATGGCCCTGCCCCTGGCGGATGGGCGGGAGTTCTCTCTGCGACGTGGCGATCGACTCCTCCTCTTCCCCTTCCTGAGCCCCCAGAAGGATCCAGAAATCTACACAGATCCAGAGGTACATGGCAGTCTGCTTCTACTGGGATTACACAGAAAACCAGTGACTTCGGGGTCAGCTGACTCTGGGTGGCAGCCTGGCTGTGATTTTTGCTTGCTGTGTGACCTCCACCAGGTGGCTTCACCCTTCCTTGCCTGCTTCCTCACCTGTGAAATGCTGCCAGGCTATCACGATCAAATTCAATCACATCAGAAAAGGCTTTGGCAGCCGGTTGTGGTGGCACACACCTGTAATCCCAGCACTCAGGAGGCTGAGGCAGGAGGATCGTTGTGAGTTTGAGACCAGCCTGGGCTACAAAGTGAGCTCAAGGCCAGCCTGAACTGCATAGCGAGACCCTGTCTCAAAAAGACAAAAAAAGAAAGAAAGAAAAAGAAAGAAAAGGTTTTGGCATTGCCTGGCACACAGTTTCCTAAGCAAAAGCTGAGCGATTTTATTTATTTATTTATTTTTATTATTATTTTTTTTTTTAGACAAGGTCTTGCTATGTAGTTCAAGTTGGTCTTGAACTCACTATTAGTCTAGGCTTGACTCAAACTGGCGGTGATCCTCCTGCCTTTGCCTCCAGAGTGCGGGGATTACAGGCGTGTGCCACCATACCCGGCTTGAGTGATTTTATTTTAATTTAGAATGTTATATCCATTTCTCAACACCTTTCCCTCCTCTGTACTTTGAGATGGAGAAAACTTTCATAATTGTGTACATATTGTGTGCCAGGTCCCGCCCCTCACGCCCTGTGCTACAGTTTCACCCATCCGTTCATTCATCTACTGATTTTTCCAGCCATCCGCCCACCCATCCATACATCTACCCATCCTCCTATCCATCCATCCTCCCATCCACCCACCCATCCATCCATCCATCATCGCTTGATCCACATTCCATCCATCTCTCCACCCACTGCTCATCCACCATCCATCCATCCATCCATCCACACCCACCCGCCCGCCTGTCCATCCCTGACCCATCCTTCCCTCCATCTGTCTGTCCTCTGGATCATTCACTTGTCCTCCACCCATCTCTCCCTCAGCATTTATTCTGCACCACACCTCGTGCTTGGGTGCAGTCCTTGCCCTGCCACTCTCAGGTGTAACCAAAGGAAACTGACCTTCTCTTTTCTTTCTTTTAAAATCCTTTTGATAGTATATTACAGAAGTAATACATACTTGTCATAAAAAAGAAATATAGCAAAATATGTATTTAAAAATGAAAAGAAAAAAACAACAGATCACTCTCCAGTTCCACAAAGCTCCCTAACCATGGTTTGGAGTGTGTCTTTTTCCCCCCTTTTGGAGTGTGTGTCCCTTAAATTATTTCTATGTCTTTACCAGGACACGCACACACACACACACACACACACACACACACACACACACAAGCACAGAGGTAAATGAGTGTTTGTATAGGATCCTATTGCTCTGAAATTGATGTTTTTTTCACTCAACAACCAGCAACAGATTTTTTTTCCATGTAGTACACACAAATCTTTTGCCGCAGTTTCAGCCAGTGCCCTGTCAGTTGACTTTTATGTTGTGTCCCATTTTTCTTCCTTCTGTAAAGCAGGTCTGTAATGAAACCCTCAAAACACTTTCCTTGGTGCAGATTTGTTTTGGGGTGAGAATAAAAAAATGGACTTTCTTCCTATTTCAGGTATTTAAGTACAACCGATTCCTGAACCCAGACGGATCAGAGAAGAAAGACTTTTACAAGGGTGGGAAACGGTTGAAGAATTACTGCATGCCGTGGGGCGCGGGGCACAACCAGTGCCTGGGGAAGAGCTATGCCATCTACAGTATTAAACAGTGAGTGAGGGGGCGGGGCCAGCAGGACAGGGGCAGGGCGTGAGGGGCGGGGCGGGGCAGGAGCACCCGCCCCATCTGGGTGGCTAACACACTACTGCTACCGGAGTGCTCAGCCAGGCGAGCGGTTTAGGGCAGAGATTCAGCTGGAAGGGCTGTCTCTCTTCTGCCCACAGATCTATTTATTTATGTTTTTAAAAATGTGTGCTAACTTTTTAAAACCAGAAAAGCTAATTAAAAAGGCGGAGTTTGGATTTCTTGTGAAAGAATCTGATCTGGCTTTGGATTCTTCCCTCTGAGTGGTGTCCACATACCAAACACGGACATGCCACCCCGCTGACCGTAGCTGACCATCTGCAGCTGCTGTGACATGTTCAGAGCCCCCTGACGGAAGCTGGTCATGTGGCTGTGTGGATGCCTCTGGGGCCTGCAGGGCCTGAAGATCCCCCGCTCAGGCACTGAGAGCCTTAGCTCTCCAGGGTCACAAACCTGCTGTGCCCGGGCTGACGCCACCGGCCCCATCTTTCTGCCCTGCCTCTGTGTCATCATAAGCTCAGGAACCTCCCGAGCCTCTTTTCCCTCAGCTGTAAAGTGGGGTACTCACTAAAGCTACAACCCGGGGGTGTCAGGAGACACAGATTGGATTTTTCCAAGAACTTGACCCACTGCCTGGCTCACCGTGGGTTTTGCTAAATGTTAATTACTATCATAATTATTATGATTATTAGTGTACCAGCAGTAAGCTGGGGGAACGGATATAGCATACTGTTTTGGCTTCAGTTTTCTTTATTTTCTGTGTCTTTTTGAGACAGGATCTCACTATGCAGTTCAGGCTGGCCTTGAGCTCACTTTGCAGCCCAGGCTGGTCTCGAACTTGCAATGATCCTCCTGCCTCAGCCTCCTGAGTGCTGGGATTACAGGCGTGTGCCACCACGCCCGGCCAGTACAATGGGAGTCATAAATACTATACAGCTATTCCTGCTCCAGCACTTCATATGTGTCCCTCAAAGTCATATTGTCATGTGAAATCATGCAGGAAAAACGACAGAGGTTATGTGGGAAGGGGGCTGCGGCCCAGCCCTCAAAAGCTTTGCCAGTGATGCATTAAAAACAGACAAGAAGCCCCCCCAAAAAGGGGCTCCATTAAAAAAAAACAAGAAGCCAGTAAAAAAGTAGCACGGCTTTGCCCTTGTGAAGTGGTTAAGAAATATGTAAGTGCTAGTTGATGTGGCACCGATGGATGTCTACGTGTGTACGTCTGCACGTTTTATGGACTTCTGCACAGCCAGCTTGGCTGGTGCAGTTTGTACCATCACCCTCGTTTCTCATAGATGAAACTGCACATGAGCAAGTGCAAGGTGTGCATTGCATGCACATGGCCCAGTCACGGTGGAGCAAATTCACGTGTTCAAAACAAGCGCCACAGCAGTATTGATTGTAGTTCCCACTTCATCAGGCTTTTGGACAGACAGGAAGACAGACAGGGTACTAAACATCATGGTTCAATAAATTAGCTAAGTAATCATCTTTTTTTTTTTTTTTTTTTTTTTGCCTGTTTGAGACAGGGTCTTGCTATGCAGTTCAGGCTGGCCTTGAGCTCATTTTGTATCCCACGCTACTCTCAAACTCGCAGGGATCCTCCTGCCTCAGCCTCCTGAGTGCTGGGATTATAGGTGTGCGCCACCACACCCCGCTATCATTTTTGTCTCAGTTGTCTTCACCACCCTGCTAGATGGGTTTCAGTGTAAAACTGAGCCTACACGGGTCAGATCACTGGCCGCAGTCATGTGCCTGGTGAGTATAGGTGCCAGCATTCAAATCCAGGCGTGGCCCCAAACTTCCATCCCTGATAAACTCACCTCTAGTGTCCAGCAGCCCAGGGCTGGAAGGGACCCGTCTTCCTCCCCCTGTGAGCAGGTGGGGGAACGGAGTGCTGGAGCTGGAGTGAAGCCGGTCAGCGCTGCATGCCCGTCTTCCTCGTCCTCCCGTGTCTTCCCTTCGCAGTAAGAGGAGAGTCCCCACCCTGTGCTCCGTCCTGCAGCAGGTCCCTGGGTCTGGGTGGCACACAGAGAAGTAAAAGACACACTCCCGGCCCTCAGGATCACAGTCAGCGACTAATAACAAAGCAGGTGGTCAGGGCCTGTTGCCACGTCGCCGGGGCGCTGGTTACCTCGGGGATGTGGCAGCCTTGCATGTTCGTCGGCAGATTTCCAGAAGGCGGCGGTAGCGAGTGCTTGTCTTGCAGAGCTGGTAGACGATGACAGTTTCTCACACAAGGCAGCAAAATGTCTTGTGAGAGTGGTGCTTGTTTTAATCTCAGCAAGACGCTGGTGGGTGAGCAGTAGCCCCGGCCAGGACAGACAGCAAGGGTTCCAGGACCGGGGAAAAAGGGGGCCGAGGGGGCCTCAGGAGGGGCGAGAGCCACGGCACCCACCGGGGTGGGCTCTGCCTCACTGCTGTAACGAGCAGCTTGTGGGGCTGAGAAACACGCAGGTGTGCTGGGCTCGGGGCTCCTCCCCTCTGGGCAGAGACGTGGGCACCCAGGCACTTCTCCCTTGGGTGGTGCCACCCTCTCCATAGGAAGCTGCACAGCTGCCAGGCAGCGGGAAGCTGGATGACCCGGCACTGCCTTCCAGTGCCCTGGTGCGGGTGTAGCTCCCGCCTCATCTGCTCCCATGCCAGGACTGACCCCAGCCTGCCTGCCCTCACCACGGGCTGGCAGACGCACAGTTCCTCATGGCCTCCAACGCCATCTCTCTGCAGATTTGTGTTCCTCGTGCTGACGCACTTTGACCTGGAGCTGGTGAGTGCAGATGAGGAGATCCCCGAGTTCGACCTCAGCAGGTATGGCTTCGGTCTCATGCAGCCAGAGCGTGACGTGCCCGTCCAGTACCGAGTCCGGCCATGACCTGTGGAAGCCTCCAGCCAGCCTTCTCCAGCCTTCTGGCTTTTCTGTGCCGCACTGCCATGTCCCTGCTGTCCTCCTAAATGCCTCTGCCCAAGGGAAAGGACAGAGTGGAAGCCACAAAGGACATCCAAGTCAAGAAAAGACATTGAAAGTTTTATGTCTTATCGCTGTAAAGTTTTAGTTCCAAATCAGGCTCTTTTTTTCTTTTCTTTTGAGACAGGATGCTATGCAGTTCAGGCTGGCCTTGAACTCATTAGGTAGCCCAGGCTGGCCTCAGACTCACAGCGATCCTCCTGCCTCAGCCTCTTGAAGGCTGGGGTTACAGCTGTGCACCACCATGCCTGGCTAAATCAGGCTGTTTCTGCTGCCGAGGGACCTTTTCCTGCTGTCCTTGTGACATCCACAAAAGCTAATCCAGATGGGGCAGAGCCAGGAGTCCTTGCTGCCTTGACCCCAACTCCCAGAGCCAGTGTCCCAGCCCTTCACAATTGCTGTGGCCCAGGCTTTCACCAGTCAAAGAGATGCCTGCCACAGAGAGGCCCAGCTGGTCGTGGCAGTGTGTCCACTGTCACCGGCTCTGTCCCCCAGTTATTCAAGGAGCCAAAGCCCAAGGTCCCCTTGGGCTCTCTCCTCCTCTGCATGTGGACACTGCCCTCCTCTGCATTCAGTGGGGTACTTGAGGGCCCCTGAGGCTGTGTGTCCAGGTGCAGGCCCTGCCCCACCCAGCACTGGGCCCGGAGGCATAGAGGTCTGTGTTCTAGAACTGCAGGCACCAGCTGGGCCGGGCTTTCCCCGTACCAAGACTCAGGTAGGGAACTGAGGAAGACAGCCCTGCCAGGGCGGCTGGGAGGAGCCGGCCACGGCTCCGCGGGTGGGTCAAGGTGAGCGAGAGAAAGAGCTGAGCTTGTGTTCCAGTGCAGATGCCCCTCTGCTGCACAACCCAGGCTGCAGATGGGTTCATCTTGGCCTGCGCTTTAAAAAGGCAATTTCGAGCTGCATGTGGCAGCTTATGCTTGTGGTCCCAGCTCCTGGGGAGGCTGAAGCAGAAGTTGTGAGTTCAAGGCCAGACTGGGCCATTTAGCAAGGCCCTGTCTCAAAACAAAAGAAAACAAAACCAAAGCTGAGTTGTTATCACATCACCGCCTTTAGAGCTTCTGCTGGAAACTCGGAAGCCGGGCCGCGCTGGGCCGCATTGCTAAGGGCGTTGCTGGCCAAGCTGACTGGCAGCATCCCCCTTGTGCAGGGCATGTGCCGTGGTGCCCAGGTTTGCTCTCTGTCTGCTCCTGCATTCATCGCGGCTGGCCCGGAGGTGTTGGAGTCTGAGACCCTGCGTGGACTCTCAGAAGTGATATTGTAGGAGGCTGGGGTGGGAGCCAGCTAATGGGGCCAGGTCGGTCATCCATGCCGGCCGGCGTGCTCCAGCATCGGAACAAACAGGTCCACCATGATGCAGCCTTTGCCTCAGCTTGGGGGACAAACCCGCTTAAGGAGAAGCACTGCGTCTGCAAGCCTTGATTCCGATGGCAAAGGCGGCTGTAAGGTCCTGATTGTCAAGTGCCCTTTCAGTGCGCGTGACAGGCACGGCAGACGCGCATGTCTGCTCCCCACAGCTGTCTGTGCAGAGAGCGCAGGGTGCCGGCCTTTACACGCAGAGAGCGGGCTCAGAGTGGCAGTGAGCCTCGGGCTCACAGTTCCCCGGTGGAGCTGCACCTACACTCTTCCTTTCCTGGGCGCAAATGTTGGAAGGGCAGCTCTTCATTCTTGGGGGCCCAGAGGTGGTGACGAAGCAGTTGTCTTCGGCCCTGGAGAGCAGGCAGGGGCGTGTGGGTGCGGTTGTGAGCCGCAGCACGGATGCACCCATAACCAGGTCTTCAAGCTTTAGCTGGAGGCACAGAGGTGCTGAGTTCTCCCAGTGCCCCAGGGGTGAGTCCCTTCTTAAGTAACCCTGGGGCTTGGGGGCTTCCCTGGCCCTAAGCTGCAGGCGCCCCCAGGAATCCCAGGCAGACAGCCTGATTGGCAGGAGGCTGGATATCCCCAGGGAAACCCATCTTCCCGCCTGGGTGACCCCACTCCCGCCTGCTTCTTAACTCTGCAGGAAATCAGAGCTGGCAGCCTCCTGTGGGAGGATGAGCCAGTTTCCATAGCAACCTCAGCTGCCTCCCCTGCCTGGAAGGGAAGGAAGAACGCCAGCAGAAATAGCTGCGGAAGGCCTGCGACCCTGGCGTGTGTGCGGGGGAAACCCTTCTGGCTTCCCCCTTCCAAATCGGGCTGGGTTGGCACAGCAGCTCGATTCTCACCCGCATTCAAAGAAGGGCCAGTTTGCTTTAAAGGGCCGCCTCCCTGCAGCCACGATCGATATTAGGGAATTAACTCGGAAAAGACGTTCTCCCAACCAGGCGGCTCCAGCTGGGATCTGAGATTGAAGTGGAGCTCGGAGGCAGTGATTGAAACCTGTCCTTGTTTCAGTCTTTATTATTTTTTCTTTTCCTTTCTTGTTTTTTCTTTTCTTTTTTTAAGAAAGCTTCCAAGAAAAGAGGGAGAGATAAGCAGGTTAGCTGCTTGCTGCTGGTTGTTGGGAAGGAGCTGATGTCATTGTGATTCTTTCTGCCATGTGTGAGGATCACAAAATTGCAGGACATAAGCTAGAACCCTCTTAACAGTGACCCGATGGAGGGTTTCTTGAGCATTATTATTATTTTTACTATATTTGTAAATTCTTCTTTTTTTTTTTTTTTCTTGAGACAAGGTCTTGCTATGCAGTTCAGGCTGGCCTTGAGCTCACTTTTAGCCCAGGCTGGACTCAAACTCACAATGATCCTCTTGCCTCAGCCTCCCAAGGGCTGGGATTACAGGCTTGTGCCACAATGCCCAGGTGTAAATTCTTGTTTACCAAACATTTTCCTTCAAATAGACTCACCTTTTTTTGGCCAGGTATGGTTGCACACACCTGTAATCCCAGTACTAAGGAGGCTGAGGCAGGAGGATTACCATAAATTTACAGCCAGCCAGCCTGAACTACATAGCAAGGCCCTGTGTCCAAAAAAAAAAAGACTCACTTTTTAAATTTAAATTTGTTTTGCAATTGCAGCCAGTAATGGGCCACATGTATTGCTCAAAATAGAAAGTAACTGCAAAAAATAAACTGGCTGGGGAGGGGGCTCTGCGCCAGCTGGCCCAGGCTCAGGGCCTGAGCGCCCTCTCTTGGGTATGGAGCGAACTCAGCAAGGTCAGAGTTGCCTGAGGGCCCTGCTGCTTCTGGACCCGAGAGAGGGTAAGGCAGATGGGCAAAGTGCTCCCGGCAAGGGCCCCACCCAGGGAGCTGGTAAGGTCCCGCCTGCCCCGTCTCCAGACAGAGCCTGGCTCGGAGGCCAAGAACCCTGCCCAAAGTCACTGACTTTGCTGTTGTTCTCAATAAACTGTCCCCTGAGCAGCATGACTGTGTGCCTTGCCATTTCAATACACAGCGCTATGTTCACAGAGCCCCGTCAAGGAGAAACACGCTATTAAAGCATCCTTCACGAGAGCCTCTGTGTGTGATTCCCAGCCCGGCACCTGTGTCTGGAAGGGTGCAGTCAGTGCCCAGGTCACATCGCCGGCCATCCGCAAGGCAGGCATGAGCATGGCCATTTGTATAGAGGAGGCAAGAACAGGTCAGAGAAGTGCATGACTTGCCCAAGATCAAATGGCCAAGTAGTAGCTTGGGATTCAAATGCAGGGCTCTCTACTGCAGAAGGCCCCACCGGGGTCTTTCTGTCCATGGTCCTCCTGGAAGGGGATGGGCACCCAAACAGGAGCTGGAGTACAGGGTCATAAGCAAACAAAAAAAATCTCTTAAAATTTTACTGGACTAGCCAGTCATGGTGGTGTACGCCTGTAATCCCAGCCCTTAGGAGGCTGAGGCAGGAGGATCACGGGGAGTTTGAGGCCAGGCTGGGCTATAAAGTGAGCTCAAGGCCAGCCTGAACTGCATAGTGAGAGCCTGTCTCAAAAAGCCAAAAAGAAAAAAGAAAAAATTTACTGGACCAGCATCCAGGTGTGTTGATGCACACCTGTGGTCCCAGCTAACTCAGGAAGCTGAGGCAGGCAGGTTGCTTGAACCCACAAGTTCAAGACCAGCCTTAATAGCATAGCAAGAGACTCCATCTCAAAAAAATATTCACTGGACCGTCTCCCATCTCCCTCTTTCATCAGACTGCATGCATTTGTTTTAAGATGAAAAGGGGACGGGGGATTGATTACATTTGCTTTCAGGAAAATAGAAAAGGGAAAACTGGTTTTTCTCTCAAATCTTTGAGTAAAAATTCCTGGGACACAGCCTCTCACACCAGTCTCCTCAGCTGTGAGGCCGATGTGGAGGCACACTGGCAAGTGTGGATCGGGCTGCAGTGGACACACTTTTCAAGAGGACACAGCGACATCTTACATGTTAAAGTGTTTACATTCAAAACAGCAGATGTTCCTTTCCCACACAAATACAGGACTCCATAGGTGGTGTGACCTCTTCACGATCACCAGGCCTTTCTTTCTCTGCTGCCTCTTTCCCTGTAACGAGTAATTTCCAACCTCAGGGGGCCAGTGTGGCTACTTGAGCTCCAGCTATTTTGTCCACATCCCAGCCAGCCAGGAGGAGGAGCAAAGAAAAGAAAAATCTCTGCTTCTTTTCCTATTGGCCAGAACTTAGTCATGTGACCCACCTTGCTGCGTGAGGGAAAATGTCTTTCTTTCCAGGTTTTTAGTCTGTGCACCGTTCTCCAGTTTAAGAAGTACGGTGTTATGCTCTTGTGTTTATCAGTCATGGTGTAAATTACATGGCAGGGCCAGAGGACCGGGGCTTGGGTTGTCCATGTCAGCGACTTTATATCCTGGGCTCTGGGGTCTGCAGCTTCATCACTTCCAACGTCAGCCCAGTAAAGAACGTTTTCATGCTCCTAAAGCTGATGCCAGCATCAACACAGCCCCTTGCTCAAAGCCCACACTGATGATGGTGCTGGTTGAATGATTCTGTGTCTGTATAAAAACTACAGTTGCCAGACACAGTAGCCCACACCAGTATTCCCAGCTACTCAGGAGGCTGAGGCAGGAGGACCACAAGTTGGAGCCCAGGGGCCAGAGCAACTTAGTGAAACCTTGTCTCAAAATAAAATAAAAAGGGCTGGGGGCACAGCCCAGTGCCAGAGCCCTTGCTCAGCGCCTGGGTAGCGCGGTGGGTGGGTGGGAAGCTGTGTGACTACCCTTCACGGGGCTGTTCTGTGTGCTGGAAAAGCTAGATATTCTGAGCACCGTGTGCGTGCGGGGCCGCGAGAAGGTTTTAGGCACCGTGCGGATGGGCAGTGAGTGACAGACTCCGTCTCCATGGCGCTGCTCCTTTATGGAGGGGGCCATAGCAGACCGGGCAAATCTATAGAAAAATATAAAGTGCGTCCGATGGCGACCCGTGCCCCAGAGAAGCGAAGGGAAGAGGCGGGAGCGGCTGTGTGAAGGCGGCAGGGGCCTGCGAGCTGCGAGAGGAGCAGAGCTCCGGGGGGCGCAGGCGCTGCTCGGGGGAGGAGGGGGCGCAGGGGACAGCCAGCCCTGGAGCGGGGGACCGAGCCGTCCCCGCAGGGCTCTGCCCTCACGGAGTTCAAGACAGCCAGCAGAGACCCCAAAGGGACCCCAGGAGGCTGTGAGGACCGCAGGCAGCGCGGCGACGGCGGAGACACGGAGTCAGGGGGGAGCGTCCGAGGCCTGCACAGAGTGGGTAGGGTGGGGGCTCCCCGAGAAGGAAACGCGAAGACCCCCGGAGGCCTTTGGGGCGCTGTCCAGAGCTGTCCCTGAGATCCCCGGGGTGAGGGAGAGCGGGCAGCGCAGTGTCCTGCTGCCAGCCTCCCCCAGGGCCTCGGCGCAGCCTCGGAGAGAGCCTGCGGCCGCCCACCATGTGCAGTCGGGGAAGGAGACCCGAGGGGCACCTGGGTCTTTGGAAGGAACGGGGTCTCTGTGACTTTATTTCAGGTGTTCTGAGAGCGGCTGCGGAGGGAACTCTGGTCGCCGCCTCACTGCAAGCAAGCCAGGTTTCCTCAGATTTTAGACAGCTGTGCACTCAGAGACAAACGGGCCCAGCCTCCAAACCAAAACCAGCGAAGTCAAACACAGCAGGCAGGCACTGCTTGCTGCTTATTGGACTAGGGGAGGTCATGTGACCCAATACCTGCCATTGAGATGATCAGGAAAGTCTAGAGTTTCACCGTGCATGAGATGTTCCTCTTTTCTCCTCTTGGAGTTACCATGTGAGAACCTATCCATGGCAGCTATCTTGTGATCATGAGGTCAAGCGATTTAGAGAAATAAATCAAGCATACTGAAACTTCTGAGCTGCTGCAGAGACAGACCCTGGCATTGCCTATTTCTGGATTTTGTGTAAATGAGAGAATAAATGCTATTACTATTCACACTCCACTTAGAGGTCACACTTCATAATGGCAATAGCCTGGGCTCTGCTGGGTCTCTGTTGAGCCATTAAGTACCAAGGTGGTTTGGGGCGTTTCCTGTGCCCCAGCTCCTCTGCCTGCAAAATGAGGATAATGGATAAAAACACTTCCTTGCGGCTGGTTGTGGTGGCACACAGCTGTAATCCCAGCACTCAGGAGGCTGAGGCAGGAGGATTGCTGTGAGTTCAAGACCAGTCTGGGCTACAAGGTGAGTTAAAGGCCAGCCTGACTGTATAGTGAAACCCTGTCTCAAAAAGACAAAAAAAAAAAAGCAAAACCCAAAACAAACAAACAAAAAACCAAAAAAAATACTTCCTTGGTAGGGTTTTGGGGTTTTTTTGTTTGTTTTGAGACAGGGTCTTGTTATGTAACCCAGGCTGTCCTTGACTGCATGGCAATCCTCCTGCCTCAGCCTCCTGAGTGCTGGGATTACAGGTGTGCACCACCACACCCAGCACTGATAGAGTTCTTGAGTGAACCCTGTTATTGACAGTCAGTAGACGAGACAGAAATGTGAGCATCCTAAGTTAGCCTCACCATAGTTTCTTGGAGGAAAAATGAACTCAGACTATGAGGTAGGGCAGGTAACACCGGGTATGGGCTTTGAAAGGTGAGTAGGATTCACCGTGCATCAAACTTTCCCATTCCCTGGCCTTGTTGTGTTCTGTTTCCCGCTCCCCTCCTCCTGCCCCAGGGCCGTCACTCCTCCTCTCCC